TTATAGATATACCAAGATGAGAGCTTTTTAAACAAAGATAAAAAATAATAATAATAATAATGAAACACAAAGTAGTGAAGTAAAAAGCTTTCTTTTGTCAAGTACATCCATAAAAGTGTGTATATATATATATATACATATAGCTTCAAAAACAGGCTTCTGAAAGCTATGTAAAAAACTTCTTCTCTAAGCTAATAAGGGTTTCATCTGTAAGCTAAGTTAGGAGTTTCCTCAATAAGCTAAGTAAGATGCTTTTAATGTAAACTAATATTTAGGATAAACATGAGTCAATTCCACTTTTATATATATATATATATATATATATAGAGAGAGAGAGAGAGAGAGAGAGAGAGAGAGCACACATCAAACTATCAATAAAAATTAAAATGATACTAGTACTAGCATTAACAATTCAGCATTCGACGTCCAGATTACTATATATATATATATATCAAAATACCATGTCAGTTACTGACTTGATAGTTGTTCACTGTTGACTAGGTGTATCATTCATCAAATCCAAAGGAATCTTGTATGATATGTATTTTTTCAGTTTCATCTAATAAATTATATCCACTTGGCAAAACTACAAAAAGGTTTAATTCTAAATAAGCGGATCTATTGAGGTATCATCCGACTCATCCTCCTAACCCGTGATAAAAGCCTTCTAAAATCTAAAATCTCAATTCATTTACTAATACTCTTCAATATCAATCATTAATACTTATTAAGCTTATAATATAAAATTCGTGCACAAATCACATCATCAAGTTTCTTGATTTAAAATGGATTTGTTATAATAATTAAACATGCCAAAACACCTTACATTAAAGAGTTATTAGGAGAACCAAAAAAATATTGGGTGGCGATATAGTGTGTTTGACCATGGATATTCAATAATTTTTAAAATAATAGGAAATAACTATCTATCAGAGTCAGAAGTACTACATAGTCGATTTAATTGGAATACTGATAAATTTTTCAAGAGATATTTCTGACGACAAAAATTACGAGGTTGTTGTTAATGGTCAAATAGATTGACGTATTAATAGATTCATCTATTTATTTATTTTTTATCTCACATCTCTGTCTTAATTCACTCCTCAATATTTAGTACACTAATATGTTTTTTTTTTTTTTTTGTCATGAGAGTTCTCTTTGGATAGTCTTTCTATAATTCATATCCAAATTGAGGGACTTTCTCTCTCTAACTTCTAGAGAGAGAAACATCACGTTCCAATCTGATCTTGCCCTTTTTCGGCCAAACTCTTCCCAATGCTCTCTTGCTTCTATCTTTTGGTTGTTCTTTGTTCATCAGAGTTGTGTTTTTCCTCTCCCCGTAGAGGTTTATCTGTTTATCAGAGTTTCCATGCTATTTCCGATGGGGTTTTCTACCCTCCAGTCTCAGGTTCGTTATTTCTGTAGGGGGTCGAACTGGATGGGTTCATGGCTTACGCGATCTGTTGGAACTAGAGTTTTGCTCGGTGGAAATCTGTTGGGTCCATATTCATATCCATCGATCTTAACTTTTGACCTAGGTATTGTGTTGGTTTCCTTCGTGTATCCTATCGTTCTACAATTATTTGGGGGTTGGTTTGGATAATGTCTTTTCTCTGGGTTGTTTTGGTTTTCCATGGCAGATTCATCGATTGTTAGTGCTGGGATTCCGTCGGTCACCATGGAATATAGGATAAGGTTTGGTGTTGCCGATTTTCTTCGTCCGGTGGGTGCAATCTGTTGGCCTGGGCATGCACTTTGTTGTTTGGGGGTGTGTCACCGCTGGGGGTACAATTACAGATTTCACGAGTTAGGCGGATTTCTACAGTAACCATTGTTTGTCTGGTCAGCGCTGCGTCTATTCCGGTAGCCACTGACTTTGGGTCGTGGCTGGATGTTGCTGGAATAAGTGGTCTTGATGGTCTGAATCCGCAGCGTGGTGTTTTTGTTGCTCTCTATGTTTGGGAGTGGTTTTCTGTTTCTTCTGTTGTCATCGGCTTGGTGATGGTGGTTTGCCGGCGATATCTTGTTGCCCTTTGTTTGTTCCTCTAACGCACCAAAGTCGTCCTCAAGTTCCGTGTGCTACTGCGATGAGTCAAACTGTAGACCGATGTTGCTGGAATAAGTGGTCTTGATGGTCTGAATCCGCAGCGTGGTGTTTTTGTTGCTCTCTATGTTTGGGAGTGGTTTTCTGTTTCTTCTGTTGTCATCGGCTTGGTGATGGTGGTTTGCCGGCGATATCTTGTTGCCCTTTGTTTGTTCCTCTAACGCACCAAAGTCGTCCTCAAGTTCCGTGTGCTACTGCGATGAGTCAAACTGTAGACCATATGTATTTGATCTTTTTTTCTTTTTTTTTTTTCTTTTTTTTTTTTTTTCGGAGAATGAAGCTAATATTATAATAATTAAAGGAGCTGTACATATGAGGCCTTTGGCCCAAACAACCCATACATGATGGAAACCAAAGCCCCAAGGCTACAAGGGCTAGGCCCAATGAAATAAACAACAGAGCATCAAATAACGGCTAATTAGCCGTTAATGGTGGTTTGATACATATCCGGTGACTGGCTTTTGCAACGATTGAAGCTTAAGGCTTCAAATCTTCAATCAGGTGGACGCGGCGGCGGCCGGCAACAAGACGGCGAAAGATCCCAGTCCTTGAGAATGTGATGCGCAGCAATGGAATCCCTGAAGATCCCTAATTTCATGATAGAGGTGATGGAGTGGGAAATCCTTGCCCGAATTGAATTCTGTGATAGCTTTGATCCACGGAAGATACGGGTATTTCTCTCCTCCCAAATGTGATATACCAAAGTCGCGAGGCAGAGCTTTCTAAGTAGATTCCATGGTGATGGAGAAGAGCACTGGATACTGAAGATTGAAGCAATTTCCAGCCATGTCAGAGCTGTAATAGAAATCTTGCATTTCGCCTTGAAGAAAGTCCAAATTGGGGAAGTATACTCGCATGAGAAGAACAGATGAGAATGAGATTCTGGGTTGACATTGCACAGAGCACATACATTGTCAAATCTAGCCATTGATCTTCTATCCAAAGTAGGGAGGCGACCTTGAACAGCTAGCCACATAATGAATTTCATTCGTGGTATAGCTGGAGATTTCCAAACCAAGTTGTACCATGAAACCAATGGAGAAGAAGGTGATAAGAGAGCTGCAGTATGCTTGTGGCTGAAACTTCCAGATGGTGAGGCTGCCCAAATCAATTTGTCATTCCCTGAATTATTTGGAGCTCCAAGTGCAAGGAGTTCTGGGATTGCCGAAGAGATTGATGCAGGGAAATTCCAAGTTCCACCAGAAATGAAGTGGCTTACTGTGGTTGAAAGGTCTAGACCAGCTGCAGTGAGGATTTGGGAAGGGAAACGAGTGCTCAATGGTCCAGCAGGAAGCCAATTATCGTACCAGAAACAAGTAGACATGCCATTTCCAACTTGGTGCTTAATGAAGTTTCTTGCATGGTGCCTCTATTGAAGGAGTTTCCTCCAACTCCAGGAACAGGATTGAGGAATTGCTAAAGCCCACAAGTTCTTGCCTTTGATGAGGTAAGTCTTACACCATTTAATCCAAACTCTATCTGACATGTCTGTTAGAAGATCCCATATATATCTAATAACTGCAGCTTGGTTTGAAATAACCAAGTTAGGGATATCCAAACCTCCTACCTCCTTAGGTTTACAAATATCCATCCAAGCAATCTTAGCACTTGTGGACTTCATTTCAATGCTAGACCAAAGGAATGCCATGAGAATTCTATTGATCTCATCAAAAACCCCTTTAGGAAGGATGAATATACTTGACCAGTAGACTTGGGTAGAGACTAGGACAGATTTAATCAATTGTAGCCTACCTGTATAGGATAGTGACCTTGAGGTCCAATGAATTATCCTGTGGGTGATCCTTTCAATGAGAGGCCTACAGTCAGCTGCCCTTAAACAGGTTGAGATTAGAGGAACCCCCAAGTGTCTAATAGGGAGATAACCTTTATTAATTCCTAGTAGGCTTAAAATAGTTGCTTCAGTAGAGGGATCTACCCCTGAGAGGAATATTGAGCTTTTGGACAGGTTGATGGAGAGTCCTGACATGGTGCAGAAGTGGTCCAAGGCTGATTTTAGGATGGATACAGATGTAATGTCACCATGGCAAAAGAGAAAAAGATCATCTGCAAATGAGAGATGGGTGATACCCAGCTCTTTGCACCTCCAATGGTATCTGAATCTAGGGGTTCTAGAGATAATATTCTTAACAGTTTAAGTAAAAATATCCATGATAATGACAAATAGGAATGGGGAAATAGGATCACCTTGTCTTAAGCCTCTTTTCCCTTTGAAAAACCCCTTGAATTCTCCATTAATAGCAATAGTGAAGGATGGGGATGTGATGCATGCTTGGATTAGCTTGATGAATCTTGGAGGGAAGTTGAGATGGGAAAGACAGTCCAGTGTAAACTCCCATTTAACTGAGTCGAAAGCCTTCTTAAGATCAATCTTGATAGCACACCTTGGGGGGGGGGGGGGAATGTCTCTGTGATAACCTCTTAATAGCTCATGAGTGAGTAATACTGAGTCAGTAATCTTCCTGCCTTGAACAAAGGCTGATTGGGTGTGATCAATGATGTGAGGGAGAGCCAGTTGTAGCTTATTAGCTAAAAGCTTTGAGATACATTTGTAGATGGTGTTGCAGCATGAGATAGGTCTGTAATCATTGATGGTGGAGGGGTTTTGACACTTTGGGACAAGGGAAATGTATGTAGAGTTAGCTTCACCTAGCAGCTTACCATTCCTGAAAAACTCAGAGATGGCCTTAATTGTTGAATTACCTACAATGCTCCATGCTTGGTGGAAGAACATGGCATTGTAGCCATCAGGGCCTGGAGCTTTGTCCTTATTTAGAGATAACATGCAAGATTGAATCTCATGTGAAGATGGGATAGAATCCAAAATCTGGTGAAGATGTGAGGGAACTGCCTTGGTGATGACTCTTGAGAGTTCAGCTTAAGTGTGGGTAGTTGGAGGGCTTATACCAAACAGATTCTGAAAGTATGAGACAATTTCATGAATAATTCCATCTGCATTATCAAGTCGAATTCCATTTGCATTGGTTAAGCTACAAATCTTCTTCCTGTTAACTCTAGAGGCAATTGATTTATGGAAGTAGGATGAGTTGTAGTCCCCAAGCTTAAGCCACACCATTCTGGATTTTTGCTTGAGCATACATTCTTGAAGATCTGAAAGTCTTGTGTACTCCTTAGTAAGAGAGAGATCAAGCAGTCTGAGTTGAGTATCACTTGGGGAGAGATCAAGATCCTTTTGACATGTATCTAGCTCCATTTTAACTGCCTGTAGCTTGGAATCAACATTTAAGAAGTCCACCTTGCAGTTGGTTTTGAGGATGTGCTTTAGAGATTTCAGCTTTTTAACCACTTGGAACATAGCTGTCCTAGGAATATAATGGTTCCAAGTACTCTGAACTGATGGTAGAAAGAGAGGGTGAGAGCACCATGCATTGAAGAACTTGAAAGGTAAACATCTTGTGTGGGAGTTAGTATCAATTGTAACTAAAATGGGGCTGTGGTCAGATACTCCAGGGGTAAGAAAGGTGCACTCTGATCTTGGAAATGAGGTGTTCCATTGTTTGTTGATGAGGGCCCTATCAAGCTTTTTGGTAATGCAGGCTGAGCCAAAGCTTTTGTTGTTCCAGGTGTATAAGATGCCAGTGTACCTAAGATCCTCAAGTTCAGCTTGTTGTAAGCATTCACAGAAGGCATTAATGGCTGGATTCCATCTAACAGAACCACCATTCTTCTCAGCTGAATTAGAGATGATATTGAAATCACCCATAACCAGCCAAGGGGAGTTGCCAAATAGAGTAGAATGGTGGTTGATATCCTTCCATAGGGAGAGCCTTTCTGCAGCAAAGTTAGAAGCATAAATGAAAGAGGAGTAAAAGGTGATATTTTGGTCGATGATGGATATAGAGCAGTGGATGGATTGCTTAGTTGTACATACAACATCAAGATCAATGGTATTGGGATTCCACATAACCCATATTCTGCCAAGCTGGGAGAAAGAGTAGTTGTGGACAAGGTGCCAGTGAGCTGCAATTTTATTATGGATTGCATCCACATTAACTGGGGAGACTTTAGTTTCTATAATAGATAGTATATCCAGTTTCTTCTCAGAGATCATCTTCTTGATCTCAGCCTGTCTAGAGGGCATGTTTAGCCCCCTAATATTCCATGCTAGGATGGAAATCATTGGGGAGTGGTGGGAAGTGAGGGATCTGGATACCTTTGAATCCCATGGGACTCATAAGATATCAAGCCTGGGCTAAGGCTTTTGTTTCTTCTTGCTTGAGACTTCATAAGTCTGACTGTGGATCTTCTTGGGGTTATACTTGGAGCACTGTGATGATCATGATCTCTTGAACCAGAATGAAACTGTGCAGGTGTTGTAATTGGTGATGTGGTGGTTGTGTATGTTTTTGGAATAAGCTCAGGAGCACTGTGATGATCTTAGTTCCTTGGGATTGTGTGAACCTTCATATGTGTGGCTGTTGGTGAAGTTGGGATAGTAGATGAGGATGCAGGGTTTGATGTGGGGCTATTATGGTTTGAGTAGCATAGCTTTTTACAGCATGAAGGTGAGGGTTGTGTTCTCACTAGGACTTTAGGATTTTGAGATGCTGATCTTTGAGGTGATTTTGATACATTGCCATTGTCTTGCAGCTTAGAGTGGGTAGAGGGATTGGAAGGTAAAGATGGAGGGGTTGGAGATACATGTGATGGGGAGTGTTGTGAGGATTGGTGTGGATTGGTGTCATGGTTGGCTTGTAGAAGAGGGGAGAATCGATTATTAGTGTGAGAATCATTTGCTGGAGCTTTATTCCCAGTCTGCCTTCTTTTCTTCCTGACAGTAATCCAATCATTTGAGGGGCTTTTGGTGGCTGGGCTATTATCCCTTGCAGGGGTGTGTTCAGTGACATTCAGTGGGCATGAGAACTCTGTGTGGTTGAGCTTGTTGCACCTTTTGCATATTTTGGGTAGCCATTGGTACTCAATACCAATTCTTTCAATTGTATCATCCTCCATTATGAGTTCAACTTCAGTTAAAGGGGCTGCGAGATGTCAATATCAACACAAATTCTTGCATATTTGAGTTTAGTTCTGCTCGCTGTTGCTTGATCTGCATAAAGGGGGACCCCTACTGAGCTAGCTATGTGACTAAGACCTGTTGCAGTCCAGTAATGGGTAGGTATATTGAAGAATTTAACCCAAATTGGGATACAAGAGGCTGTGCTGTGGTATGGTGGAGGCTGAAGGCTCCATTTCTTGAGGGAGAAGGGATGCCCAGCTAAGTTCCAAGGGCCATTTGTGAGGACATTTTCAGCTTCATGGCTGGTGCGAAATCTAAAAATGTAGGAACCATTGTCTCCAAGTATTGTGTTAGTGAGTCCATAGGAGTTCCATATCTTAGTTACTGAAGATTGAATGACTTTGAAAGGAAGTCTTTTGTGTGTGGGTAGTCCAATGAGGTGGGTTTCCTGCCAAAACCTTATGCCTTCCATTGCCACTTCCTTTGGAGGTTTAATGACAGACTTACCGTAAGAGGAAGATGGTTTAATGTAATCTAAGACCATCAAGTTGGTTTGTTGGGAGACTACTTCAGACCATTTCTTTGACTTGGTAAGCTCATTTGACTTGGTAGGTTCATATGGCTTAGTTGACTTGGTAGGTTCATATGGCTTAGTTAGCTCATTTGACTTGGTTGGCTCATTTGACTTGGTAGGTATAGCTTTTTCAGTGATGTGATGGGTTAGGTTTGATAGTAGGAGGGGTTGAGCACTATTTGGTGAGCTCTGTTGGAAGTGTAGGGTGTGTGGGAGAAAGCAGTCTGAGTTTTTGCCATTTTGGTGTATAGGGGTGGTAGTGTGTTCGTGCACTTTATTGACCAATGGACTATCATTTAAATTTGAATTCAAATTCAAACCTGTTTCTGGTGCTTCCTGTGCAGGTTGTCTATGTGCTGGGGTGGTGGTGGTAGTGGTGGTGGTGATGGCTGGGACTGGTGGTGGAGGACTTACTTGTTGATGCTGATAATGTGGAGCCTTTTCACTTGCTGCATGTGGCCTTGCTGCAGTAGGCTCACTCATTGGTGATAGCTGGTTGCATTGTTCCAGTTGTTTTTTGGCCTTAGCTAGATCTTTTCTCAATTCTGAAACAAGCTTCTTCTGTTCTTTGTACATATCCATTGCTTTCCCTAGGTTTTCGTCCTTCCACTCGAGCTGTTCTTGAAGTCTTTCAATTTGGTGGCCTGGAGAGCTGTACAAGAGGGGGTTGAAGTTCTTGGGTGGGTAAGGTTTTGGGGAAGCTACTGCCGTGCATTGTGAGGATTTATTTGGTGATTTAGGGATGACATTTGTGCCTGAAATGACTTTGCTTTGAACCCGGACTAGACTAGTTGTAGATGAAGGAAAATGTACATGTGGTTTACCAGAATAAGATGATGGGATTGGAGGGTGAAAGATTTTTGTTTGTAAGATGCTTGCTTGTGGCTTAGAGGTGGTTTGAACAATTCTTCTTTGGTATGTCTGTGTTGAGTTTTGCTTGGGAATGAAAGGTGGTTTCAAATGGTTTGGGATGGGATTTTTTAACGAGGGAGTCTTGGATTGGTTTAGATGATTGTAGATGTTTTGGAATGGGTTTTAGACTGATTTGGTTGCATTTTTCCAGTTGAGAGAGAGAGACTTTACGGCAAAGGAGGCTTGTTAGAAATTAATACTAGCAAACATAACTTGATCAAACAGAAGTGTTTGCAACTTTTTGAGATTTTGCATTTTTCATGCAAAGGATGTTGTTGGGTTGAATATATGTATTTGATCTTCTGCAGGTGAGTATGGAAGAAGTTGCACGGCAAGGCGGTTCTTCATATGGGGGCCCACAACTATTGTATGATGCTCTGAATGATGTCCACCTTACTACCTTGGGGTATGTGGCTCCTCGTTTTACCATTTCTAAGGTCGTCTTCGATGGAGTTGTGGGTCCTTAAGTCTAAACTTCCTAAGTCCTTTGATAATCAAATTGCACTCATAGTGGGGGCTAGCCAACCCAGATTTCCTAACACTTTTAAAAGCTTTGATTAGCTTGGTGTTGGGGGTAGGGCTGTAACTCGGGCTGGGCCAGCCTGAATTTACCCGAGCTCAGTCCGAAATTTTCAAGGCTTGGGCAATGTTTTTCTGTTATAGGTCTGGGCTTGGGCTAGATATTCTGAGCCCGAATTAAATTTGGGCAGAGCTTGGGTTGATATTATATAAAGCCCGAAGCCCAGCCCGAGTCCGGAAAGGGTATATTTATTTTAAAACTATGTTATTTCACAAGTGTATAATAGCCTAGTTGGTAGTGTGTTTGGGATTTTTCTTGGAGGAATGTTGCTCGAGTCCTTGTAGCTACATAAATTTCTTATTTTTTACATTCTGAATACAGAGGCGTGGGCTCATGGGCGGGCTTGGGCAGGAGAAGTTAACTATGGGCTAGCTTGGGTGACTGGGAGTGGGCTTTAGGCGGGCTTGGGCAGAAGATTTTGTACATGGGCTGAGCCCGAATTAAGTCTCCAGCCCGCCCAACCCGCCCGAGTTGCAGCCCTAGTTGGGGGTGGTTGTCTGGGGGGTTTGGCTTGTTTGGATATGTTGATTCTCCCTCTGTGGGTTGTAGTGGATGTTTGTACTGTTTCTTTGTAAGTGCCGTTAGGCTGTTTACTAGGATATATATATATATATATAATATAAAATATAAAAAAAAGAGAAGAAGAAGAAGATAGCCTTTCTATAAAATAAAAAAGGTTAATTCCACTTACACCCCTTGAGGTTTGTCAATATTTCACTTGCACCCCCTCTACGTTTCATAATTCCACCTATACCTCCCTTGAGGTTGGGTTTATGTATCAAGTTATCCCTTGCCGTTAAGCAACTGATAGTTTATGCTGATGACAGCAGGAAAAATGGATAGAAGGTCAATTTTGCCCTTCTAATCCTTGAAATGATATTTTTAACCTTATTGACTATTGTAGAATTGCAAAACTACCATTGACTTATTAACTTCAAAATACAACAATGCCCTTCACTTAGAGTTTTTTATCAAAATCCTTGAGGCAAGTTCTTTTCTTCTTTTCCCCTTTGATTCATATTCTGTACAGACCTAGATTAATTCTAGGATATTTAATTTAATTCATTGAACCTATTTGCATGATAAACTCTGAAATTACAGTGTATATAATTTATGTAGTGGGTTTTTGTATACGGTGTGTGTATATATATTGTTTAATCGGTTTTAATGATTTTTAAATTGTTAAATTAGATTATGGAGGATTTTAAAAACATGATTTAAGTACTCATGTTAAGTATGAAATTTAATTAATTTAATTTAAATTAATTAAATATGGTTGGATTAAATTATTTTAATCAATTATTTGGTTTTAAATAAATTTGATCAAATTGTGGAGGAGTAAAATTATTTGAGATGCATGTTAATTTTTATGAGATAAATTCAATGCATGCTACTTAGAATTGTTATATTTTGCTTAATTAAATGCAAATGAATATCTATATGATTTATATTATGTTATGTATGGATTTATTTGACATGATATCCTAACTGTAGCATTATTTATGGATAGTATGCATTATATGCACCAGTATGGGATTGTGGTATATTAGGGACGGATTAACTAAAAACGTTAAGTCCTACCTATTCATGTATAACGGAATGGATTAACTAAAATGTTAGATCATACATATTTTCATGTCAGGTCAACTGAATCAGTTGGATGATATACCGGATATTTGTTTTATGTTTGGATAGGATGGATTATATATATATATATATATATATATATATATATTATATGCCATGATATGAGCTTGAGTCTCAGGATCATGGTTAGGGTGTGTATATTGCCAAGGATGTGTAGCTAGATATAGTGCAGTTGTGTACCCTAGTAGGTCTAGGTACTCATGCCCACAATATGTGCATTTTGCATGTTGCTTATTATTCAGGTTGAGACAACCCTATAGTCTAGTGAGATTCCTTTAGTGTGTATCTATATATATACGGACTATGTAGTTATTGTTGGATTGACTAGGATATATATGAGTTCTGAGTCTCTGTTTGGGATGTAGTATATTAGAACTTGTTTGTGGGCCTGACCCACCATTATTTTTCAAG